CAGGGTGATTCCGTGAAGTTGGTTCGGCAATGGTGAAATCAGCAACTTCAACCGGCGGTTTCAGCCACTTACACTTCGAATTGGACCTCGAGGTAAGAATTAAAGTTGTTCTACTCAGTATTACGAACATTTTGGCATAGGTCTTGACCGGCGATTTTAGGGTGGTCCGTCTCCGGAATAGTACCCCGAACCACCACCGGCGGTGGCGGCGCCTGGCGGCGCAGGGTGGCAATTTTGAGTTAGGGCTTTAGAGACAGAATGTAGTCCTGGAGTTACTGAACATGATAGTATGTTTAAATTGTTGAGATTCCGTCGTTTAATCGACGATCGGAGCCTCACAAATGTGGACCATTGATTTGAGATTATCGGACCGTTGGATCGTGTCCAATTTTAATTATGTTGTAGCTGGTGTTGTGAGGAGTCTGCAGGTTCAGACAGATTGATGATCGGACATCCCGATCTTAAGTTATAATTTTTCAAAGTTAAGACGAGCGATCGCCATTCGATCGTGTAATGTAGAATAATCCGACCGTTGGATTGGGTCCAAATTGTTGCAGGGTAATATCGGGACTATTTAGAGTCCATTGGTGAGATCGGATTTGGAATCCGAGGTTGTGGGCCAAAGGCGGATTTTTGGAGTGTCGGTTAGACATGTGGGACCCACGGGACCCAAATAGTGACCTTTTGGACAATGGGTGTCATTGGTCATGATTCGACGTCGACAGCACGTATGTCACAGTTTTGAAGTTGGTTGGACGAGATTTGATCGCTTTGGACCCCCGGTTGGTCCAAAGGGCAATTTCGTCATTAGTTGCGAAATCTTGGATTTTGGAGTTTTGTGCTAAGTTGAGTTGTGTACTTTGCTTAGGTACTGTTGGAGTTTGAGTTGCTCGTTGAGGTTTGAGATTGAGGATTCGTTAAGTTGTTGAAGACGCATCTTGGACGAGAGGTGAGTAAAACCATCTTAATCGTGAGTAAAGTCACGAAGTATTATATTTATTATAATGTGACCTTGGATAATGTTAATGGCTATAATTAACATGTTGGTTGTGATTTTATAAAGTGTTTT